CCCCCAAGTCCAGGCAGATTGGAGAGGCTTTGTGGGCTGAAGTACACGCGTATGTGCAATTGTTTTCGGCGCTGCACTGTAATTCCTCCTTGTGTTCACAATACATCAACCCCTTCCAGTGGCTGACAGGTGTATTACAGATACCAGTGAATTCACTTAAATTATTCTTACTTTTTCAACAAAGGAACAAACAATCTGCGTTTATTTTCCCTCCATCACGTAAGACCACGAGACGTAGCTATTATTCGGTGCTGCACTATAATTGAAAAAATACATTATCATTGCCTTTTAATCTANTTTTTTATAATTAAGCAATTCTTCACTGAATCCGATGTCATTAATTGTATTACTCATTCACTCCTTCTGGGTATCATCATCTAATGCTAGAAAGTGGTCAGACAGAGAAATCAAACAGTTCTTCTACATCTCACCGGGTGGCTGTTGTGCATTTGTTTAACCTTTTACTGTGATTTACAATGTGCTCAAATTGAAAATAAAGCCTGCAGTACTCGTTACCTCCGCCAGGGGGTGATATTATGCTGTGTAACTGCCCACAATATTCATCATTAAATGACTTGTCCTCCGTGAGGGGATGTAAACACAGGGGTGAATTTGGGTCGATGGGGATTCGTGACGGTGGAAAACGGGGTTGGGTGGTGTGTTTCTGTTGGGAAGTAGGTTAACCGATGACAAGGTGGAAGAGGAGGGTTTTGAGGTGGGTGTTGGAGGAGCCAAGTGGCACTTGGAGGAGACGGTGGCACTGCACCCTGAGGGCGGGCAAAGAGTGGCTGAAGGTCCGCCCGACAATGTTGGGGCAGACTTGGCAGGGAATCTGAAGCAGAAGGAGACTTCTAATCGGAGGGAGCGAGTAGATTGGTAGAGACGTCGGAGGTCTCTGAGGTCGGTTGAATGATAATATATAAGTAATAATTCTCTTATTATGATATTATTATTATCGGTTGATGAGATTTAAATAATGCTAATTCTACTTCCAATTTCATTAATAATAATACTCTTTTATTTGATATGGCGACTTATCATGACTTTGAAACGTCTCAAACTCTTCACATTATAAAATGCACATTTAACTCACTGTGCATTTTGGGGGGGAAACGTGGCTGGCAAATACACAGCAGTGTCCCTAAAAATAATAATAATAATAATCCTTGCATTTGGTATAGCGCTTTTCACGTCGGAACGACGTCCCAAAGCGCTTCACAGAACACACTGTAAAGTGAATTGACTGTAAATTTGTGGGCAAACGCGGCAGCCGATTGCGCACAGCAATGTCCCACAAACAGTCGTGGATTGAAAACGACCAATTTCTTGTTATTGTTTTTGGTTTTTGGAGGGATAATTATAATGTGGAGACCTGTAGCTCAGTGGTTAGAGCACTCGATTTGCAAGTGAGAGACCTGAGTTCAATTCCAGGCAGAGGGCGAAACCTTGGGCAAGTTTCCTTACTCCACACAGAGCCTAATAATAATCCCTCCAAAAAACCAAAAACAATAATTAAATTGGTGATTTTCAATCTACGACTGTTTGTGGGACATTGCTGTGCGCAATTGGCTGCCGCGTTCGCCCACAAATATACAGTCAATTCACTTTACAGTGTGTTCTGTGAAGCGCTTTGGGACGTCCTCCCGACGTGAAATGCGCTATATCAAATGCAAGGATTATTATTATTATTATTATAAGGCTCTGTGTGGAGTAAGGAAACTTGCCCAAGGTTTCGCCCTCTGCCTGGAATTGCACTCACGTCTCTCGCTTGCAAAGCGAAAGCCCTAACCACTGAGCTGCAGGACTCCACATTGGACTTACAACATTGGATCGAACAAAATTGCCATTGCTAATATTCGTTAATTATTAAACCTAAAAAGGCATCTGCCAATCGAATAACAAGCGTGTTACTGCTCGGTAAGTGGAGGCACGTGTGTGTGTGGAATAAAGGTACCTGCCTGACATTTCACCCTGTCTAAGAAAATTAAACCGGATTCTCTCTCTTGTGACCATAACCTAACTTTGGGACCATCCCAAACCATGGAGACCTGCCCGATATCTCCAATCCTCTCACAATTGGCGGTCGGGCCCCCAGTCTATCCCTCTGCTCTCTGGAAATTAATCGCTAGAAATCCTTCAGATTACTGGTTCGATAGGTGTTGTGTGTGAGAGACTGAGAGAGAGACTGAGAGAGGGAGAGAGAGAGAGAGATTGTGATGGAGACTGACTGAGGGAGAGACTAAGTGCATGACGGAGAGGGAATGACTGAGAGAGAGAGAGAGAGAGAGAGAGAGAGAGAGAGAGAGAGAGACAGAGGGAGAGAGGGGGAGATTGGGACTCTGCCTGTTTGTGTGTGTTTGTGTGTATTTGTGTGTTTGTGTGTGTTAGAGAGAGAGAGAGAGAGAGAGAGAGAGAGAGAAGATGAGACAGAAATAAAGAGCGATGAACTGAGTGAGAAAGAGATAGTGATAGAGGAATAGCGACTGAGATACAGAGAGAGAGAGAGAGAGAGAGAGAGAGGGAGAGACTGCAGCGTTATAGGGGAGAGTACGTGTGTTCACTTCGCGAGCAGAGAGCAATGTTGGGATTGTTTTCTCATCAACACAATCGCCTCTGTTTACATATCAGTAAACAGGAGTCCTGGTGTTAGTCGATTCGTGAATGAATTTTGCACAACCAGATATACAGGAAGTGAGCAGTCAGTGAAGGCGTCACCGAGAATATAATCATAACCTTCACAGCTCACGGCGCTCGAAAAACGTTTCTAACCGTTTATCCGCCTTCAGCTGATTAGCCATTGCATTTTACTAAAGAATTTTGCGTGAGAGTTAAGAATGAAGCAAAATTTCAAGGCAACATTTATCATTTTGAGTATAATGATATTATTCTTATGTAAGTAGGGAATCACTCACTCTCACTCACTCTGTCTTTATCTCAGTGACTCTCCGTCAATCTCAATCTTTCTCTCTTTCACAGTTTTTAACTCTCTCTCTCAGTCTTTCTCTTTCAGTCCCCCTCAGTCTCGATATGATTCAGTCTCCCCCTCTCTTCTCTCTCTCCATCTCTCTCCGTTGCTCTCTCTCTCGCCCTGTTACTCTTTCTGTTTTTCTCTCAGTATCCCTTTCAGTCTATCCTTGAAAAAAACAGCGTCCCAACATATTTTGTATAGGTCCCAACATATTTTCCTCCTCAGTCTTTCTGTCTGTCTTAGTCACTCTCTCAGTCTCTCCATCAAATCACGAAGTCACGACATTTAATAATATGTTCACTCTCAGTCTTTCTGTTTCCTTCTTTCAGTCTTTCTCTCGCTCAGTCTCTCTCTCTCTAATAATAATAAAAATTACTATTATTATTATCATCTGCACAGATGCTTTGGCTGAAAGCGATGTATCACAGAGACCCCAGACCGTGAAGCAGCATGAAAATGGAAATGTATCCATGGAGTGCACCACCACTGAGTCGGGCCCAACCTTTCACTGGTACACACAGTATGGAAACGGCTCCATCCGGTACTTGGTTTGGGGAAAAAGAGACATAACAGTGAAGGACAGGATAAGAGCTTTGGTTAATACAAAACAGAGAAGCTGCACTCTAACAATCCAAGACGTGCGAGTGTCAGACACCGCCACTTACTTCTGTTCGGACAGCACAGTGCTGTGTGTCTAAGAGGGACCTGTACAAAAACATGCTGAGGTTACTGGAGCTCAAAGTTTAGAGCACTCGCCTCGCAAACGAGAGACGTGGGTTGATTCCCGGCAGGGCAAAACATTGGACATGTTTCCTTACTCCTTGTGCGGAATCCTGTAGCTCAGTGGTTAGAGCACTCGCTTTGCAAGCGAGAGACCTGAGTTCAATTCCAGCCAGAGGGTGAAACCTTGGGCAAGTTTCCTTACTCCACACAGAGCCTAATAATAATCCTCCAAAAACCAAAAACGACAATAAATCGGTCATTTTTAATCCACAACTGTTTGTGGGACATTGCTGTGCGCAATTGGCTGCCGCGTTCACCCACAAATATACAGTCAATTCACCTTACAGTGTGTTCTGTGAAGCGCTGTGAGTCGTCCTCCCGACTTGAAAAGGGCGATATCAAATGCAAGGATTATTATTATTATTATTAGGCGTCTGTTTACCTAGCAATACGTAGGTTTTAGTTGATTGGCGGAGCGTCTTTCTCTGGATAATAATTCCTTTACAATAATGATATAATTGTAAAAATGATAAACAGTTCTTTATCTCAACGCACAACTGTTTGTGTGACACTGCGTTGCGCAACTGGCTGCCGCATTTAGTCCATAACATGTACAGTCATTTCACTTCACCGTAGAGTCTGTGAAATACTATGTGACGTCTCGAAGAAGTGATAATGCGTTATGTCAAATGGAAGGATTATTATTGTTCATTTTATTGGTTTGCTGAGCCGTAACTAGGAACCCGGTTCTCAATAGATTGGAGTAACGCTTTTTCGGTGGTAATATACCATTNAAAAAATTGGTCGCTCGATCAACGACTGTTTGTCAGACGCTGTTTTGCGCAATTGGCATTTTCCCCACAAAATACAGTCGATACACTTAACCGTGTATCCCGTGAAGGCCGTATAGACAAATAACTCGGACAAGTGATAAGGCGTTGTATCAAACGCAAGGTTTATTATAACTCACTGGTTGATATGGATAACCATAGGCGTGGTGATTGGTTTCCATATGTGTCAGACACCAGGGTAACAAAAATAAATGTTAATATATGAAGCGTCATTTAGCGAAACAAATCATGCAACGCAGAAGCTCGTAGAAATGAGTCATGCTTGAAAACGTGTGTTTTGTACCCAAACTCGTGTAATCCAGAAGTGTAGAAAGGAAAGAGGAGGGTACGAAACTTTCAACTAATTGGGGCAGAGACACATGAGGAACTGCTGACTTCACATGGCTCCTACCATTTCGCTTTGAACCCTCTCAATGGCTCGTTTCACCTCGTTACCAAATTGAAACCTCCCCCGGGGATGTGAAGCCAACACACATTAGGCCATTTCCAGCCGTCTGCACACACTCAGGCGTTTCCACTGAATAACTCGTCCTGCATTCTGTTGACTGTCTATGCCATAATAATCTTTGACCGTTGATAAAGTGCCTTATCTCGTCTCTGAGGCGTCTCAAATCGATTCATAGAATATCCTCTCAAGTCTTGTGAGCGTGTGTTGGTTGGGCGGCGAAACTCGAGAACGAACCGTGCACCGCAGATTAGCTCGAAGAGTCGTGGATTGAGTGACAATTTTTTGAGGGATCAATAGCCCTGTAAAGCGATCCGCAGATCGACTCGCAGTCGGATTCCTGTTTACTGTCGGTTAAAGAGAGACGCGAGGAATAAGGAAAACTGCCTACGGTTTTAAAGGCAATTGTAGTTTCTTCATTGAAGCGCTGAAAGATTGGCTATGAAGCGCGAATACACTTTACTCTTCATCCTCCTGAAAGCTGCCGTGTTCCTATGGGGTGAGTATGTTTCACAGATGAACCCCACTTGCGCTTTCCGAGAAATTATATTTAATTCGACCACAATTAACGAGTGAGTTTCACTAACTGATTTTCTTTCGTTTACCAGGAGTCAGTGGTCAGGAGGAAGTCTACCAGACGCCACTCTCTGTGACTGTTGGGGAGAAGGAAAATGTGCTTATCAATTGTTCCGCAAAAGGAACGACTCAAACTTTACAGTGGTACAGACAGTATCCGAACCAGGCTCTCAAACACTTGGTAACAGGAAAGACAGGAGAGCAGCAGAAGGAGAGGATCACAGCAACAATGAACTATAAAGAGAAGGGCAGTAATCTGAGCATCACAGGCACAGAAGTGACAGACGCCGCCACCTACTTGTGTGCAGTGGAGACACAGTGACACAGTCACATAGAGAGGCCGTACACAAACCCCCAGTGATCAGTCAGCAATTCCCCTCTTGTTCATCACAATAACTGCTCAGCACTCACCGCACTAAGTTTACCTCAATTCCCTTGTTGATGACGGCCTGTTCGTGTCACGCATGCAGGGCTTTGGTGTCCTGTAATATTGTGGTTATAACACTCGCCTTGCAATCATTGACGGTCATGAGAGCGCTAAACCCGACCCAAGCTTCCTTTATTTACACTCTCGCCCCTGTTTATCGAACTATAAGTATTAAATTTTGGCAATACCCCAAAAATGTATTTAATAACAATCATTAAAGCATATTTCACAACTAGATATTTGGGACATTGCTGTGCACAATTGGCTGCGTAATTTATCCGCAAATCATACTGTCAATTTACTTTACATTATCGAAACACAAAATACTGCAGATGCTGGAATCTGAAACAAAAACAGAGAGAGAGAGAAAACTCAACAGGTTAGACCCCATCTATTGAGAAAGGAAAGAGAATCATTTTTTTCCGGTCCACGACTCTTCGTCAGAAATGGGGTCTGTTGGGTGGGGGAGAAGTTTCTAAGGGCAAGTTAAGGACAAATCCTGTCTCCCACACTCAACTTGTCCTTTTGTTAATTTGCATTAAATTCTTCGAGGTGCTTTCGGCCGACTAGACGATGCGATAAGATGCTGTATCAAATGAAACGATTAATCCGATATTTCTCCGCTTGATCTGGATTTGAATAACCATAATCAAGATGATGGGTTTCCACATGTGACAGATTCCCAGTTAACGAAAATAAATGGTAAATTATGAAGTCTGATTCTGCGAACTACACAGTACAGTGCAATGACATGAAGCTGTGAATTAGGCCAGAAAACGCTTTGAACATACAAACCAACCTGTTTTTTACCCAAATGGCTGTAACCCGGAAAAAGAGACCGGAAAGGGGCGGGAAGGAAACTTTCAACTAACTGGGGCAGAGACATCTGAGAAACTGCTGACTTCACGTGGATCCTCCCTTTTCGTTTTGAACCCTCTCAATGGCTCGTTACCAAATTGACAATGTGCCCCCGAGGATGTGAAACCAACACACATGAGGCCATTCACGAGCCGTCTGCACACACTCAGCGGCCTCCACTGAATACCGGGTCCAACCTTCTTTTTGACTATCTATCTGATAATAATTCTTGCCATTTGATACAGCGCGTATCAAATCAACGAGACAGCACAAATCGCTTGACAGACAATACTGCAAAGTTAGTGACTGCGTATTTCATGGGCGAAACTCGAGTACGAATTGGACACAGCAGAGATCCTCAAACAGTCGTGGATTGAGTGACAATTTTTTTTCAGGGACAATTTCAACTGGAACGGTATCCGCAAATCGACTAACAAGCAGGTTTCCTATCTATTATTCGGTAGACAGAAGGGCTTGGAATAAGGAAACCTGCCTAAGGTTTAAAGGAAACTTGCATTTCTTCACTAAAGCGCTGAAAGATTGGCTATGAAGCGTCAGTACACTTTGCTCTTCATCCTCCTGCAAGCTGCCGTGTTCCTCTGGGGTGAGCATGTTTCACCGATAAACCCCGCTTGAGCTTTGTGAGTCATTGTATTTACTTCGACCGCAATTAACGAGTGAGTTTCATTTACAGATTTTCTTGTATTTACCAGGAGTCAGTGGTCAGGATACAGTTTCCCAGTCGCCAGTCTCTGTCACTGTAGGGGAGACGGAACGAGTGATTTTCAGCTGTTCGGCAACAGGACCGAATAACGCCTTACAGTGGTACAGACAGTACCCTAACCAGGCTCTGACGCACTTGGTAACAGGAAAGACAGGAGAGCAGCAGAAGGAGAGGATCACAGCTACAATGAACTATAGAGAGAAGGGCAGTAATCTGAGCATCACAGGCACAGAAGTGACAGACGCCGCCACCTACTTGTGTGCAGTGGAGACACAGTGAGACAGTCACATAGAGAGGCCGTACACAAACCTCCAGTGATCTGCCAGCAATTCCCCTCTTGTTCATCACAATAACTGCTCAGCACTCATTGCCTCTCAGTTTCCCTCAATTTCCTTGTTAATGGCGGGATGTCCATGTCATGTCTGCAGCACATGTGGTGTCCTGTAGCTCAATAGTGAGAGCGAAAGGACCTGGTTCGATTCCGGGCTGATTGCTTTTACGGGGTTAATGATTCCTTCAAAATGACAAAACTTATAAAAAATTTAGTCACACAACCCAATGGGACACTGAAGTTAACACTCGGCTGCTTTGTTTCGCTCACACAGTATGAAGCCAATTCGTTTACCGTATATTATGTGAAGCACTTTGCGGCATCTGGAAGATGCAGCAATGTGCAATAGCGAATGAAAAGTTTTTAACTATAATTAAATTTAATCATGTTATTGACCCAGTAATAACCTCAAAGTCCTGCTCTTTGGGGCTAAGCCGCCATATGTACGAGCCTTTCTGTGGTGTTTTAATCAGCAGGATAACATCAAATACAAAAACTCATATTCAAATACAGCCATATGTAACGGGAAATAAAAAATGGGCAGAAAAATATTTGCTATTAAATGTCTCCAATTATACAGGTGATGTAGCTGCAATTCACCAGCAGAAGGCGAACCCAACACACATATAACATGAGCTGCAACTTATACAGATTGTCAATTTCCTTTCTGCAGCTCGTCTTGCCAGCACTAACAGGTGCTTCCTGTTACAGTTGGCTTTGGTTCCTTCATACACTATTGCTGCTTCAGCTGAAACATACAAAGGTCTCTATAAAGCATAAGTAACAAAAGGTTTAGTTTACTGAAGAAGCAGCTTCTGTGTCACTTTTTCTATATTATTGCCTGTCTCCCAAGTAACCAGTCGCCCTTAATCGGATCTCTCTGCTGTATAATGCTTCTCTCCGGAAATGTTGTCGATTTGGCGACCACAACACTTTTAGGCAATATATTTATGCAGTATATTGTGGGAAGCGCTTTCAGACGCATCACCGGCATCATATGTCAAAGGAACAAATGCAAACATACATAATATTATTCCTGGTTCAGGGTAACATTTATATTCAGTGTCTTACCACTGGGTGTTTCTCGGGCGCTTATATTCTGAAAACACACCACTGGCTTGAAAACCTGTGAAAAATGGTTCAATAAAGCATATTCCTGCACACCGCTTACAACCGTTTTCAGAAGGTTGCTAACCGCATCCCATTGCTTGGTTGACACTTTCCATTCTGAACAACAGATATATTCGAAACGTAGATTGTTGGAATCAAAGTTTGTTAACAATTGTAGGGGATCAGTCGACATAACCTACGGGTGTTTCAGGATTCTCTGACTGTTCTGCTCCCACGATTAATGAAAATTCTATTCCATATACCCGAATCAATCCTAAACCTGGTTTCTACAGAATATAGAGATTTTTGGAATCTCTTTTCCTGAAACACAAATTTCTTCATACAGTATTCCTGCAAGGCGACCGATTATTAAGATCTGTGCTCTTTGCCAAAGCACATCTTGGTCCTATAGGTTGGTGGTTAGACCATTAGCCTCGCATGCAGTGGAGATTCACAGCATTGAACAATTCTGCGCAAAATTGCTTGCTGCATACGCTGTTTAACCGACCAGTAAATAGGAACCCGGTTATCAGCCGAATGGCGAACAGTTTGCCAGGGGAATAACACCGTAAAAAAGTGGTAAATTGGTCATTCATTCAAGGACTGTATGCGTGGCACAGCTGTGTGCATCAGGCTGCCGAGGTTCACTCTAAAAGCACAGTCAAATTATTTTACCGTATATTCCACAGACAATGCGAGACGTGTCCACGACCTGATAAGGCACTTAGTATTATTATTATTTGTATACTTTGTTGAGTCTTTGTACTCAGGTCTCTCTACACTGTCTCTTTCATGCGTTAATGTAGTTTGCCACAGCGAGGAGAAGTGAATCTGAATGTAAACGGTAGGAGTATTCGCAATGCACCTCCACCAAAGATCACAGACAAGATAATGACGCGGAGACAAGAGACAACTCCTTAAATGGAGAAACATTTATCAACCAGACGCTACGTGTAGATAAATTCTCGTTGCATTTCAACGGAAGACATTGACGTGAATCGACGGCAGTTGAGAATGAAGCAGAATTACAATGCGAAATATATGATTTTGAATGTAATAGTATTCCTACGGTGTGAGTAGATGATGGTTGTTTGCAAGCAAATGCTTTTATTTCCTGATAAATGGTTACAAATTGTCGTGGCAGATGTTTTCCGAATTCCTTTCCAAAAATATTCATTTCTACTTTCTTTCCAGGTGTCTTGGCTGCAAGTGATGTCGCACAGACACCTCAGGCCGTGACAGTGAATGAAAATAGAAATGTTTCTATGGAATGCAGTACCACTGTGAACAACCCTGTCTTCCAGTGGTACAGACAATATGGAAACGGCTCCATCCACTTTTTGGTTTTGGGAAAAAGCGATGTAAATATGAAGGACAGGATAAGAGCTTTGGCTGAGCGAAAGCAGAAAAACTGTTCGCTTGCAATCGAAGATGTGCGAATATCAGACACCGCCACTTACTTCTGTGCGGAGGGCACAGTGCTGTGTGTCTAAGAGGGACCTGTACAGAAACATGTTGGGTTTACTGTAGCTCAATGTTTAGAGCACTCGCCTCGCAAGCGTGAGGGCCTGGGTTCGTTTTCCGTCCTGGCAAAATGTTGTCCAAGTTTTGTTACACCTCATGCGTCTGCTCACCTAGTAGTCTGTAGGAAACTGGATGTTAATTGATTGGCATATCTCTTTTCAGGGTGCAAGAATTGTTTAAATCGGAAAAGAAAAATTCTCTTTATTCCGCAACAGTTTATGGGACACGGCTGTGTGCAATCGGCTGCCGTATTTTTCCCATAACAGACACAATCCATTCAATTCACAATACAACTGTGAAATGCTGTGTAATATCTCGAAGACGTGATCAGGAGCCGTATCAACCGCAATGCTTATTATTATTTTTATTGATTTATTGAGCGGGAAATAAGAACCAGATTGATAAGAGTTTGGATGATCTATTTTAATCGATCAGAAAAGTGGATCACTCAATCAAAAACCGTTTGTGAGAAGCTGCTGTGTGTACTTAGCTGCCAGGTTTTGTCCACAAAATACACTCTCGATACACTTTGCACTGTAAGGACAGTATAAATTACAAGGAAATTAATAAGGCTTGATATGAAACGCAAAGGCAATTATTATAACACACTGGTTGGTTTGGATACTCATAAGAATGGTGATGGGTGTCCCCACACGTGTCAGACACCGGTTAAGAAAAATAAATCTGAATCTGTGAAGAATCATTCAGCGAAATAAATCCTACAACACAGTAATTTGTAGAATTGAATGATGCTAAGAAACTTGTGTTTTGTACCCAAACTGTTGTAACCCAGAAGCCATGAGCGGAGAGCGGCGCTGAAAATATGATCACTGACATAAATTAAAGTGAACTATGTCTAGAGTACTGAAGAGTATTGTTCAGAGCATTCACTTCGCAAGCAACAAGCCCTGGGTTAAACAACTGGAAATATTTTATTTACCCCACACTAATGCCTCTGTCCTCGTAGCAAAAGCAGGAAAACGGTTGCTCGTCGATTGGCTGATCGCTTTCCCACGAGATATAACCCCTAAAGAAAAACTATTTGGTCACTCAATTCATGAATGTTTGTGAGCAATAGACTACCAATTTTCGGCACCGAAAAACACTGTGCATCATTATGCTGAAGGGAATATTCTGCTAAACTTTTTTGACGTTCCAGTGGCATTATTAGGCGCTGTATCAAATGCAATCATTATTATTATCACAGCTGTTACTTTGGTTTCAGTAAATGAAGTCCGTTGCCTGAACACCGGTTGTCGCTGGTGCTCTGATATTTTCTCCAGGCAACACTCGCTGAAAATTCTTCGAAAACTGGTTCAATAACACATATTCCTATACCTTTTCTTTCAATAGTTTTCAGAATAATAGTTGTCACTCCCGTCCCTTTCCTCGGTTTGTACGTCCCATTCAGAAAAAAAAACAGATGGACTCGAAACATAGATTATTGGGATCGCAGTTCATTACAAGTGCAGGTAATCAGTCCCACAAAATAGGAGTGTGCATTAGGAATCTCTGGCTGTTCAGATCCCACGATTACTGGAAAATCTCTTACTTATATCCTAAACTATTGTAAAGTTCGATTCTACGGAATCCTGAGAAGCTATTGATCTCATTCCCTTAATCACAAAGTTCCTGATACACTATTCTTGCAATTCGCCAATTTCATTGGTAACATTTCCTTAAAAAAGGGCTAAATAAGTCATTCAAGCCACAAATATTTGTGGGCGACGTCTGTGCGTAATTATCTGCCGCACTGTCCCACAACTTATGCAGTCAATTAACTTTACAGTATACTCCATGTAGCGCTTTGAGACGTCTCAATGACGTGATAAGGCGTTGTATGAAAAGCAAGGGTTATTGTTATTTTTACCTTTATCTGCTTCAGTCTTTGTAACTCGCTTCCTCTACACTGTCTCTTTCACACATTACTATGGTTTGCCACTGCGAGGCGAAGGGAATCTCAACCTAAAAGATAGGAGGAGTCGCAATACATCTCCAGCAATGAACAGAGACAGAGCAATGACGCGGGGATAAGAGTCAACGTCTCAAGTGAACCAACGTTTATCCACCAGGTATTGTCTTTAGATGATTTCTGGTTGCAATTCATCCGGATATATTGACGTGAATCGAAAAGAGTTGAGAATGAAGCAGATTTTCAGCGCAACGTATATTATTTTGAATTGATCAGTATCGCTTCTGTGTAACTACTGTCTGAATTTGGATAAGCAAATTCATTATCACCTGCTAAATAATTACAGTTTATCGCGCCAGACACTATCCTAATTCCTTTGCGAGTATGTTCATTTATGTTATT